TATTATTATTATTTAATGGAGTACCTCCCACTGTTTATGACATTTTCTCCTTTTCGCACAATCCCCACCACCCGCAAATCCCCCTTTCATACCCCAGCCTGACTGTAAACGCATGTTCATGCCAGACGGTATTTCACCCACAAGTAGGGAATATACATTATTATTATTATTAATTGCCGGTGGATGTTTCACATTTTTCCAGCCTGGAAGCTCTTCCGAGGGTCATGTGATTTGCCACATCTTCAACAGAAAGATAACACCTAATCACACGTCCCGCGGGAGCAACGTCTACCGTTATGCATGAAGGAGGCATTATTGCTAACAGCCTAACGGTCCACGCGGTATCCATGATCCTTGTTCCTTCCATTTTTGTGGGGAATAAAATTATCTCATGAGGTTCAAATGGAAGGCTTCAGCTTCATGTCTAGGAAAAGGTTTTCCGTGCAGCTCGTGGCTTACTGGTTTAATACGATCTGGATGATGTAAACTGACGTGTTGGCAAAGCTAAGCTCCCACACTCATGTCACATCCTTGCTTCTGCGCCCTAGTTTGGGGGTCAGTGGCTTCCGCTCTCCCGAAAAGCATCAGCAGACAATGCGTAGCGCCACTCATCTAGGTCTCAGCGAAGGACAGTAAAAATACCGGCGAGAGGACTCACGTATATACCATCGGAAGGTGGTTTTAACTAAGTCCTGGATACAGTGTGGCCAAGTGTCGCCGTTAGGTCTTTTCACGCAAAACTCTCCAAAATGAGAAAAACTGCTTTCTTATATAAGTTTGCGCTCAGAACTTAGAGATCTCTCAGCCTTGTCCCCGCCTTGTGTCGTTGAAGTCGGCAGTGAAAACCTATGGAAAAGCTTGTCCGGACAATTATCAGGCCTCATTGGGGGTGACTATGTTCTTGAGGGAAGAGTTCAAGCATTTTGGAACGCGTTTTATATTCAACGGAAGTCATCTTGAAAGCTCGTTGGATGGGCTCAATGAGGATATGGTCTACACTGCGTCCTGGTTGGCGCATTCGAAAAGCCTTGCGTTGAAGGTACACCCAATCTCTCAAAGTACGACAAATGCCTTTTGAGACGCATTCCATTGAAGTGAGAGTTATACGTCTGGAGTGAACCTGGTTCCCTTTGAGCATCTACCTTCTAAACGTTTTCTGGTCCACATCCACATTCGCGCGGAAGGCTTTCCCTGAATGCCCTCTGAACGACACATGAACGCAGTTTCTACATTCAGAGGAAGGTAACGGTCCAGCTTCCACTGCTTTGAAACCTCGACGCTTACTTTTATGACACTAACGTTGGAAGTCCGCGGTTTCAGGGCGTCTGCAACAAAAGGCGTGAAGTTCAGAGACTATCCGTTAGATACCTGGAGTAGACTATGAGAGGGTCGTTCCTAAGCCTAGGCCTTCGGAGGTCAATAGACACAGAAAATGAGGCGGAAGAAGAGTAGGTTAGTCCGACCCTCCATCAGAGCGTTCTACCTAAAGGAAAGACTAAATCCATTGTAGAATCTCTCCTTGGACCCTACAAGACTCCAGTTAGTGGAGTAGTGTGATGTTGGACTTTCGCTGAGATGTCCAGAACTACAGGTATTTTCGCCATATATGAACAGTTGGAGAGGAATCCATTCCGCACCAGGGCTATCAAAGCGTTACTGGTGTGGTGAGTTAGATTGCCCATATCCTTGAAGTACGCCAGTGAGGCCAATAAGCCTAGGGCTACTGAATACATATTGCCAGGCACCACAAGCTTCCTATTAGGAAATCCGGAACTTACGTACCTATTCGCGTTTCAGTGCCCACTTCTCGATACAAAGAAAAAGATGGTCAAAAATGCGGATATGGAAGAAATGAAGAAGATACATAACTTATGAGACAAAAAAGTTCATTCGCGAATCTAGGAAAAGTTGCAGATATAAATCACAAGTTCCGCCGATATGATGCAGCCGTACCGTGTTGCGCGCCACGGATTCACGGATTCACGGATTGACTTTAAATTGGTTCGGGAAGGAGCGTGTACAACCGTCGGAGGAAGGTCATTCCACGCAGCTACTACCCGAAATGAAAAAAAGTTTTGTCTTACCGATGTGTGTGCCCTGAGCTTGAAGATTTTCTTACTATGTCCCCGCCGGGTGTTTGCTGGGTCAACGGTAAAAAACCTGTTTGCCAAGCTTTGTTCAAACAGGGCGTAGGTAAGAATTAGGTCCCCTCGGAGGCGA